CGAACGAAATGGCCTAGAGAGATTGTTAGTCTTCTCATCATCAAGGACAGATATCTGCCTTATGTGGCCTACCATGCTCTTCATGTAGCTTCATCATTGCCTTCTCAATGTCGCCTTTGATGGCATGCCAAATCTGCCAACCGCTTCCAAAGGAAGCCCAGAACGGACCAGGAACTTGACGCAGAGTAGTGCCATATCGTCTGTGAAGCAGAAAGGCAGAAAGAAGGAGGAAGCAAACGCCCAACAAAGAGTCTGGAGTCGTTGAAGAACTAGCGAGACCCATCGTTGAGCTTTTACGCTTATTCTGTGAGGATCTAGTGAAATGTTACAAGAGAAGTGGATAGAGGATTGGAGACCGAATAAGAAAGATTTTATATTCTGATAGAGGGCCAGATCAAAAGAGACAGTGGGTCTTACAGCGACTCGTAAGCTAACGAAGTTGCTATGCCTATCTAACATTTCATAATTTTTCATCCGACGCTGTCATCCTTTTCGTTTATTCATACTTTAGCTGCTAATGTCCGGCAATATATAATTCGCTTGATTAGGAACAACATACAAGTTAGATGTTCCAAGCAAATGACGACTCGGGCTCATGTAACGCCGTATGTTGTCTAATCTAGGATTCAGCCGGTGTTCTATGATGTTTATCTATAACAAAGCCCTCGACAGCTAGCAGTCTAAGAGATACAAGGGTTATTTATCACTTTATTACGTATGCTAAGCACTAGTACTCCTATTTTAAATCTACCGGGACTATGGTCTATATTAACTAGAGAGTTTATTAAATAAGCGCACTAGTGATCTTGTTAGGCATAGCTACTAGCTAGCCAGCCATGGTGATTGGCGTAAGGGTTGCATCTAACACAAATAGCCGATAGTTCAGACTTTGCGATATTGTTAGTACTCTTTCCCATGATAATAAATCTTTCTCTTTCTCCTTTATCATGACTAGATAACCCGTAAAACGTTTGTGTTAAGGACGCCTTTACAAACAAGCTTTTCCTTATCTATTCTAAACTTTGATGAGCCTAGAAAACGCAGAAAAGATGGCGGTGCTACGTACTTCTGTACATAAAGTGTAACAATATCTTCAATTTACGAGTAAAAAGGACCAGAAGCGGGATTCTCACATGTCATGATAATGGTGGGTCATCAGTACTTGGTGCATTTGATCATCACCATATTCATGTGAGGATTAAAGTTGGTTAGGAGGTCCAAGTTGTCAGAGCTTAATATCTAATGTCAGACTCTCGCGATACCTACAGCTGCATACCGCCTACCTAGAGTGACAGAACAAAGAGGGCATTTTGTATATAGATTTCTAGCTTGTAGATGTAGTAGTTTAGAGTTCCTTGTGCGACAACAAGTATTCAAGTCTTACTCCTACGTTGCTATCAGTATTCAGAGGTCGTGACATCTAAGGATGTATCTATTCCCTACATAAGCCCCTTCTTAGGGCTTTCTTAGACCTAGAGTCATAATCCTCAAAGTCATTCCATGATAAAATGGTACCGCCAACTCGAGCCTCGCATTTATACGCCTGCTGTTCTGCATTGACACTTATGTCACCTTAGTCAACGAAACATAGCACCGAACAGGGCTTTTCGTAATCAAACTATATGATTCCCGAGAACTTAACTCATCTGAAAGCTTATGGAACTCGAAATTCCACACTAGTAGCGCTAGCACAATACGAATCTCAAGGTACGCTAAGCGCCTGCCGAAACAACCACGTGGGCCGAGACCGAAGGCCATCATCGGTCCACTTCGGGAATCATACACTACATTTCCGTTCTCGACCGTCTTTAACCAGCGGTCTGGCTTGAAAAGATGCATATCGCTTGGGTCCCAGGATCTCTTGTCGCGCGACGACGGACTTCGGACGTGTTCTGGTATGGGAATGGGCGGATAATGATAATCAGGGCCGACCGAAAGTAAGAGTACCATAGTTTCTTTGGATATTTCATGTCCCAGGATTACCGTGTTTACAAGAGCCTCACGTAATGTGATCGGAACAGGTCCTACGTATAGAGGTTACATTAGTAGATAACAACCCCGGATCATAGATATTATCAATCGAGACAAAACAAGGGGGTCGGGGAAGCAGGCACGGGAGGTGCTAATATACACCGTCGTAACGTCAAAATTCTTCGAGGACGGCATCAAGATACGGGACGGATCTTTTCCAAAGTTCCACTACTGACGGCTGTCGACCCTCGGCATACGCCTCTGAGTCCACCGTGCGAAGAGCCCCTCGTAGTTTAATCTGAACTTCAAGATATTATGCAATATTCTTAACCATCCCTTTTCACACAGAAACAGTTAGTTCAGTCTTACAGCGTTATATCTGCATCATGGAGAGAATTAGATACATAGGGGAACGTACACGCTATCGCAGTAGAACTTGTGTCATGCCCTGCTACCACTACGACTCTGTAAGTTAATTATCACCGTTCAGAGCTCGTTTCTTTAAAGGTTTCAGACACCTTGATCTGAGAAGGATGTCTCATGCTTCGAAATCAAGAAGAAAGCGACTCAGAGAGTTGCTTACGAAATCCAAATAGCTAATAAACAGTCAATATTATTCCTTGGTCTGGCATAGACAAACAAGCCTTACTTCATCATAAATCCGCGGGGAGTGAAAAATTAGTGCTCGTCCGGCCTTTTCCGCGGCCCTCATTTCTCGCCATAGGATATGGTCCATAGCTGATCGCGTGCCGCTCTCGCCCTTACGAAGGCGCACGACGGCATTGCCGATCTCATCACGGACGAACTTATCCTTCTGAGCAAAGTGCTTTGCTAACGTTGGACTTGTCAACATTTGGATTCGGTGCATCAACCCAGGAAAAGGTGTCTTGAACTGCTCTCCAAGGTGAATCCCGATCGCCTCAATGGCCGCTATATTTGGCAAAGTGGGAAGTTCTGGGAATGCAACGGTTCCGTCGGCATTAATCGCGGGCTTATAACCGGACTCGTAACTAAGAAAATTTGCTTGATTTTTGATAGTGCTTTGATCATCTTCCAAGCCGAGAGCGACAGCATTGATGATGTCGATCGCTACATCGAATATGTCCCTACGCGCGTTTAATGGCCGACCTTCTCCCAACTCAGCTTTGAGGGCCACAGGTCTACAAGAGCCATTGTTTTGGCATATATTTGCGGCGCAGACACCTAAGAGAATAGTGAGCTTGTTCGTACTTCTCGCTTATTAGGAGAAAATTGGGCGTCATCAGCTCTCGGGCAAGTTCCTTGTTTTCCTTAAATGTGACAAGGGCTTTACTCAAGGGCTTGGAACATAAATATGATGCTCTATTCAACTAATAATCTTCTTTGGATCTAAAGGGTCCTTAAGGTCTAAGTTTCCTTTCCGCGGGCACGCGCTTTTCGCATTTACTTATACCCCAGGAATCAAGGGATGAATATTACCACTTGACCTAATCCAGACTGCGGTATCGGCGGTGGCTTTTGCCAGGTCTTGCCAGATCTATGTCAGCTGTAGCCGTGTGACATTAAAGCGAGGATTCAATGATGGCATGGCAATGTGGTGGTTGGGGACTACCCCGGTGAAGGCGCTCGTACTGAAAGGACGCCGATAAAATTCACGAGTGCGTCTTAGCAAGATATCTTGAGACTCTCGGAAGTCAGGAAAAATCAAGCAAGGCTTTCGTAAAGGTCCCATCCATATTTGGGTGAGAGCAGAGTTATGCTTCTTCAGATGCTCTATATGCATAGAAATATCTTAGTTGAGGTCTTAAAGTCCCATTTTTAGGAATTACTAGATTATACGGGAAAATGAGACTGAGGAGTCAGGTACGGGAGTTTCTATACATGCCTTGGAAAAAGTTTCGCGTCTTTCCCGTGGCGCATAACATGAAAATCAGCTCAGGAAGGTTTCCAAATACGTTATTTTTTGCGCTCTCATCGAAAGGAATACCTGGTATAGGTTTCGGCAAAGCCCAAATGTAGGCAAGAAATAGCGCCGCTAAAATAGAGACGACGTAGAAAGGAGCATTGCCGATTGGAATATGAAGCATCATACTAGCCATAATATCACCGTGGTCAAGTGATAGACGAAGTAAAGACGGCGTCGAACTTTGAGAGATAATCGATAGACGTTGGCAATAACGGTCCCTATAAGATAACTAAGCAAGCGAACATATTAGCTATATATTTGGATCTGATATTCTCGTGAATTCGTATAAAAGGTTATGGATATGGTTACGCCTTATAGAATAGTGTGTTTGGTAAACATGCAAGTTTGGAATTCACCTGACAGGAAGGGATATCGGCGGACTTCAACGGGGCGGTTCCAGGTGACTCTCAAAGCTTGCCATCGAGCCGTCTTGTCCTTGTCAAAATCGACACAAGAAAGCCCAGCTTTTATGGCTTCGTAGAGTGGAAAGTACCTAAATAGGGGTTTGCCTTTTACAGGTTTTCTCCCCTATTGCCTTTACGGTTTACATTATCCTACATGTAACATAGTAGAAAAGTATTGACATATCCACCATCCTTCGTTGACTAGAAAACGTACCTTGTGTTTTTGGGGAGAGTTCAAGTATCCTGTAAGATTTACGTGGTCCTGTGGAGATTTGGCGAGACGGCGCACTCAGCAGTGTATAAGACCGGCATAATTCACACTCCTTTTGACAGGTAGCAAGAATAAGTCTCCAAACTTTGTAATAAGGTCAACCTGTTCATTCCGCCCGGTCCTATCGGGTTCATATCATTTCTGTCCTACGGTGAGCCCCACAAGAATATGCTACCAGCCGTGGTTAATCTTATTAAGCGAGTATTCAATTTAGGCTTCATATTCTTAATGTCTATGTGTTTACTATCTGCAATGTTTCTTAGGCGGAAAATTCTTGTGTCCGTCTATGTAATTGCTTAATACTGAAATTCTACAACGGCCCAAAAAATTGAGCCGATCTCTAGATGTTTTAAACACACGAGGTACATTGTGGAGCCAGCGGGAATAGGAAAAAAAGGACAAACAGCAACTCCGAATCGGGGAATCGAACCCCGGGCTTGACGGCACTGTGCTTGTATCATGTTGTACCATGAGACATTATGAGAGCGTCAAATGTTAGCCACTACACCAATTCGGATTGATGACTGAGCCAGTTCCTAAATATTACTAAGATAGGTACAGGAGCACCAAGTTCATATTGCGTATTTGCCGTTAACGCTCTCTTAGACAGCCTGGTATTTTTTTTTTCTCGATTGCTGGTCCCGGTTATCTTAAAAAACACAGTTGTTATATGTGTGTGTGGATCAGCATCTAGTGGACATTGAAAAATTATTTTTCAACCATTTGCACACCAGTAAGACTCCAGACAATAAACTTTATGTATGGGATCGGTATTACGGACATAATTAATGCGCGCAATGTGAAGTGTATAACAGAGTGATAACTTCTTTCTACTATCATCTGAAAAGGAACTATTTTAAAGCAAATAACCATACTGTAGCAAGAGTTTGCACTTTGTGGTCTATGGTTACGAAGGTCACGAATATCACAGAACGCTGCTATCTGTATGTGATAAGTTGGAGTGCATACAGCGTTATCTTCATTCGCTAAAACCGTAGCTAACACAAATAATTAACCCCGGTGATAGAATAAGCATATCCAAATCATCGCTTGCAAAACATATAACACAGGCTCGTACCTCAACAACACAAAGTGGTGGAAGCGAGCATAAAGGAAAGTGGAAAAGAAGCATGAGTGCCTGGATCATATCCAACCAATATCTGTAAGGTAAAAGCTGTAGCTCGATTTCCAATTACGCGCTCAAAGTCCACAGCAGGCTTTGCAGATACAGCCAAGACAACAGTTACAAGCCCGGTCACCAGCATCCCGAATCCTTGCCTCGGCAAGTTCCCTAAGGGAGACGGTAGGGACTTCATGGGAGATATAGATATACTCAATTCCGTTTTGGGTGTGGATAGTGTGAGTTGTGACATTCGGGCCGAGGTTGTGTCTCGGCAATGGCAGCATCGCCATCGATGGTGCTGTTGCTGGTGCCTGAGTAATTGGATTAGTGGTAGTGCCAGAGGGGCCAGCAGAGGGAGCAGGAGCGGACTGGCTGTATCTTGGGTCAAAATTGTGTCTTAAAGACCAGGAAACACAACAGAGAGCTAGAACTTACCTAGCCTCTTGAGATGTGCCAGAACTCATGATTATAATCATATAGTCGTCTCGTGTAGCAAGTGCTCGAAGAAGGAAAGTCTAGTAGAAAGCGATGCACAGAGCAAGCATGTTTTCAAGGACAGAAACGATAAGTTTGCTGAATAGCGATATCTCGAGCTCGCTAAGTAGTCAGCCCAAGAGTTCACAGTCTTATGTATGCTCTATAGCTCTTGATTGTGCCCCCTGCTTTCAAACGTCCTTGAAACAGTGAAACAGTGTAGTCATAAGCTTGTTGATTAACCTCCCTCGATTGGGTCTAATATTGAAAGGTTCGCGAATGATTACCTTAGGGTAGGAGGTTCTTGAGGCGCACAAGAAAAGATATTTTCGGAATGAGCGATGGAGGGCTGCAATCAAGTGCTTGGTACTGATTATCGAATATTATCCGATTGTCTCCCTTTCTGAAACAAGCGAAAGGGGGGGCTTAAATGAAAAAAAAAAATAGTACATTGGAAGTCAACGATTAACTAAACTCTCCTGGTTTGGGGGTTCACGGGTGTGTACGATCCTTCTCAGTAACATGACCAAAGGTAAACGTGCCATTGGGTTACCAGATCAAAGAGACAGTCACAATTTATGATGGAAAGTTACAGAGTGGTAAAACATCGAGCAGGGTCAGAAACCTTTGGTAATGTTCAACAGTCTGAAAAGGGATTGTAGGCAATTACGACCATAGCTTCTCGAAGGCCAGACTTACCAAGTGGTATACCGATTCGTAGCAAACCAGCAAGCCGCAAAGAAATCCAGGGGTTATTGCCCTGTCTTGTGCGTTGGTATGATACCATGCCAAGAAACCATACCGGTTGAAGCAGACTTTGCCCTCGGCGGCCCTCCCTGTAGTCTCATCAAAGCCCAAGGTATTCAACCCCCGAGTAGTCATAAGATGAAGTAGCATGCAAACGCCATGTCGTGAAAGAGGCTGCTGCTACTAGCACTGTGCTAGGAAAATAGCAGATATCAATTTGCTATATTTAACTAACGCTGTAGGATAGCTGGTGGCAGATATTCGCGTTCATAAGAGGGAGCCGTGTCATTTGCTGAATTCGAGATATGCGTGAAGGCCCGTACTTAAGAAATGATGTGAGCTAAAATTGTTGCGTTCAAATCTATTATAAAAAAAAAACTCATGGTTTGCAAACCCAGCTCTCTCTCGTTTCGAAGTCCAGGCGTTGTCCTTGTTAGTCAACATGAACATTAAGAAATACACATTCAAAGCATTATCCATGTTCTGATCCAAAACGAAGCATAAAGTATAGCCGAGCGATAGAATGCCATCATTCAATAAAAAGGACACTGCCATTATCTTGAAATCACATACTAGGACGCGCCATGCCGTAAAGCGAACCAGGTAAGCGATACGCCTTAATCCAAGCGGATAGAAGCATTCATCATACATATGATGAGATGATGATACTGATCCCACTTACCTAGATATCGCCGCCTACGTAAGGCATCACACAGCAAACCGGTTATTAATTAAGATATCAAAGTATTGAAACGCACACCGGCCTTAGAATCTCGGATGCCAGGGACAACGCACAGTCATAATCAAGGGCCAACCGAAGAGAAAAGCCCTGATGAGCTGTTCTAACGTGCGCCAGCACATTAATGATAACGAATCGACAGCATCCTGTTATCGACAGACCTTCATGAACCGATTTGCGCTGCAGATGCCGGGGCGTTTTATAACGTTTGTATTCCCCTTCCCCACCCCCCACCCCCCAATGTACCGATAAAAACAAAGTGCCATTATAGCCCGCTTCACCATGCTTATCCGGATATCCTCATAATTACAAGCCATCCCATATCAGGATTCATATTATTTTTTTCTCATCAATCATCAGCCGTCAATGTCTTTGTCCCAACAAAAAACATCCCATCATCTCACCACAGTCTGCGTAACGCCGCCACCACCGACCCCGCCGACCCCGCCGGGTCTCGAGACCGCATTCCTGATAATGAAGTCGCGGTTCTCGATCGTCACGCTCTTGGTCATATGATTTACCTTATACACGCCTACAAGACGGGCTGCGAGCTCAAACATGTTGTTCCGCAGCGAGATGACGATGAACTGTGCGTTCTTGGTGCGCTCTTTGATATAATTGGCAACAATGGAGACCTGTTTATCACAAAGCCAACAATCTCGTTAGCAAATCTTCCAAAGACAGACTTACAACAGCAAGTGTGAGAGGGGTATAGAACTATAGTCACTCACATTGCGGAAATCCAAAGCAGCATCAATCTCATCCATAACATATAACGGCGTGGGTTTGTAATGATGCAATGCAAACACCAGCGCGAGACTCGAAAGGGTCTTCTCGCCACCGCTCAGATTGCTAATATTCTTCCAACTCTTCTTGGGCGGCATGACGGAGAACAGGATCCCCTCACTGAACGGATCCAGGCTGTCGACCAGTTCGAGCTCGGCATTCCCGCCCATGGTGATCATCTGATACATCTCTTTTAAGCGAAGGGAGATGGTACTGAAGCCTTCCATGAAGCCTTCCAGTCGCAGCCTCCGAAGATCATCACACCGCTTCTTGGCCGAGTCGCGTTGTTGCACGGCGCTAGCCAAGTCAGAGGAGCGCGCGCTATGTTCCTCAACCCGACGGCGGTATTCTGCCAGGACGCTGACGTCCACATTGACATTTTGGGTCTTCTCTTCTAGAGCAGCGATCTCGGCCTTCAGGGCCTCCTTGCTCATATCTTTTAATTCGTCTTGGGTGAACCGTGGAAGCTCTTCGGGCTGTTCTGCAGGAGTTTGCTCCTGCGGTTCCTGCTCCTGCTCCTGCTCCTGCTCCTGCTCCTCACCGTTTGCCTCAGCTGATTCCTGTGCATCAGGCTCTGCCGCCTTCTTCGCCGGCACTTCGCCCATCAGATCGTTAACATTTTGTAAGACCAGCTTGCCCAGCTTCTCGTTCCAATAACGCAACCGCTTCTGGTTTTCGACAAGAGCCTTTTGGTTATCCTCCAATTGATTGCGCATCTCGATTTCGGATGCGCGTGTTTCATTGAGCTCGGACGTCTTTTCGTCCAATTCCGCCTTCATAGACGCAAGCTCTCGCTTCTTCTCTCCAAGCGCCTCCTCTGCAGCTTCAACTTGGGCGTTTAGGGACTCCGATTTAGTTCCTTGATTTTCTATCTCTTCCTCAAGTTGTTCAAGGTCTTTGACAGCATTTTCCAATTCCCTAGTAGCTTTGGCGTGATCTTTCTGAAGCTTTGTCTTAGACTTCTCAGCCTTGACCTTTTTCACTTCAGCATTGGACGTCTCCTCGTTATGAGAGGAAATCTCCTCCTTTAGAGAGTCGACCTTTGCTCTTTGAGCTCTGAGTTTCTCGCCGCCAACTTCCATGATCTTGTCTTGCAGCTCCTTGATTTCGGCTTCCAGGCCCTCGGTTTCAGCGTGAAGTTTGGACACTTCCTTGTTCAATTTCGCAATTTCCTTCTCCAGAACGGCTTTCCGGTTGTCATCGGACTCAGAGGGTTGGTGTTCTTTGCTTAACTCTTTGATTCGGCGCTTTGCATCGGCGATATTTTTCTCGGCACTCTGTATCTCTAGTTCAATTTTCTGCATTTTTGTACCCAAGCGTGGAATTTGGTCTTGGAGATCTCTTAAGCGCGTTTCATGCTCTCGTTGCTTCTCTAGGAAATCTTGGAAGCGTTTCTCAAGTGTATCGCGGTCGCCTTCAAGTTTCGTCACCTGCTCCTGAGTTGTGTCGGCCACGAGTTTGCTTGACATTAACCCTCGTTTGACGGTCCTGCCACCACCTGACATGGTACCGCTCTTGTCGATGAGCTCACCATCAAGTGTGACAACTCGCCATCTCTTGGCCCCGTATGCGATACGGTTGGCTTGTGCTAAGTCCTTAGCGACCAATGTATCTTGAAGCGCGTGGTAAAAGGCAGGTCGGAATTTGT